TATACAGCGAGCTGCAGCTCCCTATATACTGAGCTTAGGGTGACGCCAGGACGCGAGTTTGTGTCCTCCCGTTACCCTAAGGAGAACTATGGGGAAAAGCCCTGACCTCATAGCTTTCCTTTAAAGATCAGCAGAGGCTGCTGGAGGTACCTACTCCTCTCCTGTACCTTCGCTTTCATTACAGCAGCCGATGTTGGCACATCAGCTGTCGGCCTGATCTGAAATTTCAGCTATTGTTCAGGGGATGATGGTTTTTTTGTTATAGAAAGAAGGATGAGGCGTCATTATACAGGACACAGCTTTAAAATGGATTTAATCATTTTTAATGGCTGCGTGTGAAGCCTTTGGAGGTTCTCACCACTCCCCATATAAATGGGGCCCTAATAATACACTAAGAGGGGATTGGATGAGTGGAAATGCGTCGTGTTTATAAACGCAGCCGTGCGCCAGAAACTAAGAGGTTAAACCCGCAGCACGCGATGGTGTCAACATATGTCTGACAGATCCTCCATGTGCGAGCCATTTGTAGCCTGGATACAGAATCACCGCGGTGCTGGCGGCGGGGGCCACGTAAACATGAGCGCCGCAGACCCCGGGCTCATCTGCTTCCATCTGCTTTCTTCGCAGTGCGATTGGTTGGATCCGGTCGAGTTTCGTCGGCCTGCGTTGCAGGTTCTCATTACCGGCTTGGCCTGCCTTGTTTTTTTTTTTTTTTTACAAATGCTCTACTCTTAGCAAACTCTTGGCAGGCTGAGCCGCCTGCGCGGGCCATGTTGGCCGGGCGGCGGGATGTTTAGGTTGTGAAATAAGGCCGGAGCTTCTATAGTTTGTTTCACGGGAGAAAAAGAGAGAGTCTGTCTGCTGCAAAACTGCGTTCAGTCCGTCCACGGCGGGATCACTGGGCCCATCGTGCTGAAGGATGCTAAAGGATAGGAGCACGCAGGGGATTGTTAGTAACAATGTTTCAATTTAGAGTAAATCATCGTTACACATGTGGATGGAATAGTTATTGGAATCACGTTGTACATCCGCGGAACACATGACTTCCTATGGAGTATCAGCTACCTGCACTGCTTTGGATCATCAGCAAAGGAAGACTTCTGCATATTACATTCCAGAGCAGCCTTCCTCATCCATGGTTCCGTGGAACTCTGGGGTTCCTCAAGAGGTTGTCAGAGGTTCCTTCAGCAATTTCTGCCTATTAGATATGTAGCCATTTATACCAATGATCAATTCAGATATCTATAAGGGAAGAAGGACCGCCAATGTAAGGGGCATTCTTCCCACTGACCACCAATGTAAGGAGCATTCTTCCCACTGACCACCAATGTAAGGGGCATTCTTCCCACTGACCACCAATGTAAGGAGCATTCTTCCCACTGACCTCCAATGTAAGGGGCATTCTTCCCACTGACCACCAATGTAAGGAGCATTCTTCCCACTGACCACCAATGTAAGGAGCATTCTTCCCACTGACCACCAATGTAAGGGACATTCTTCCCACTGACCTCCAATGTAAGGAGCATTTTTCCCACTGACCCCCCAATGGAAGGAGCATTCTTCCCACTGACCACCAATGTAAGGAGCATTCTTCCCACTGACCCCCCAATGTAAGGAGCATTCTTCCCACTGACCCCCAATGTAAGGAGCATTCTTCCCACTGACCACTAATCCAAGAAGCATTCTTCCCACTGACCACCAATGTAAGGAGCATTCTTCCCACTGGCCACCAATCCAAGGAGCATTCTTCCCACAGACCACCAATATAAGGAACATTCCACCCACTGACCCCAATGTAAGGGGCATTCTTCCCACTGACCACCAATGGAAGGAGCGTTCTTTTCACTGAGCACCACACTAATGTACAGTGAGTTATCTGTTGGGGTTCCCTGGGACATGAAAGTTGTTCCAAGGGTTCTTCTGTGTTTAAAAGGTTAGGAAAGGCTGATCTGTGGGGGACTATTTGTTCTATATATGTGCTGATCGCCTGCGATTTATCCATAGGGAGCTATTCGTGTTATACTGTATGTGTGCCGATCAATGGCAATGAATTGCTACTAAGTATCACCTCTGTACCCCTCTCTATAGGGAGCCATTTGTTCCATGGGGGACCCAATCTATTGTTACTCTTAGGGATTGATCACTAATGATTCAAACATCACAAACTTGCTACTAAACATTGCCCGCATGCTCCTGGCTAACCCGTCTGAACCTCATGCTGCATGTTTCATGGTTGTTCTACTGCAAATATGTTTATTGTTATTATTCTCATGTATTTATTGTTTATTATTATTATTATGATTATTATTATGATTATTGTGCTTTTCATGAATTGTATGATTGTATGATTTGACATGTGTCTCTGTTTCTTGCAGCTCATACTAAAGGCCCATTCACAACTATGTACATGTGTTGTCACTTCCTGCGTTGCTGCACGTTGTGGTACATGCCTTCTTGCCTGTGCCTGCCCATTTCCTATGGATCCTCAACGTGCACCAGTGTGCTAAAAAAATGCTAATGACCAATACCAGCACTGAAGGTCATGTGCATTGTTTGCTGTGTTGAGGGGAGCCAGGACACCCCTTGAATGTTTATCTGCAACACGTGTCAAAGTGCATAGTAACGCATGCGTGTAGGTGTGAACGGGGCCTAATTTGTTTTGTGCATTGAGGTCCTTTGGCAGCCCATTCATAATAAATGGGCTGCCTGATGCAGCGTGCCTCAGCGCACGGAGACGTGTTGTTTCACTTATCTGGAGGTTTCTTTTGAGTCACCTGTTGGCTTCTTATGTTCCCTCAGAGATTCCAACAGCAAGCTCTCTGCAGCTTGGTTCCCAGCTCCGCCCACTTGGCGTAACCAGGTGCATGTTGCATCTCGTGCAGTGGTACGTCACTGCCGGAGTCCCTGAGGAATATGAGAAGCCAGTGTGAGACTCGGGCTGTCGGCCTCCGGCCACTGCTGAAACATCCGCTTTAGATGGACCGACCCTTTAATTATCACTGACCGGCAATGTGCGGGAAGTGCGCTGTGATTGTGACCTCTTTCCGTTTGTCCTGACAGCCTGTGCCCCAGCGGTGGTGACGAACTGCACCTCCCTTATCCCGGCCTACCAGAGGGGCTTTTTCTGCAGTGACGGGAGCATAAGACATGAGTTTACGAAAAGCACGATATCTGTCCCGGTGCTTCTTTCAGTTGGGGTTTTGGTGGCGCTGGTTACTGTAAGTGACGGGTGCAGCGGCACGGTAGCCTCGTCTGGGCCCACGCAACCATCCGAAAGCGAGGCCAGTATCCCCGGCCACGTGCGGATCATGGGAAGGTGGAGTCAAGTGAGCCGCACGGGTGACAATCTGATTGTATGATCTCCCCCGGCCCCTCACACTACAAACCGAAGGAGGTTATACAATCAGGTTGTAGAATGCGTGGCAGACCTTAAAGAGGAACTCAACTTTATACCTAAAATGCAGTGAAGGAGACAATTAAAGTGCGTCTCTAGCCCAGTTTTGGATGTGAAAGGATAAGATTGCTGTCAGGTTTTAATTGCTGTCTGAGTCTGTTTGTCACTGTCAACATTTTACAGTTGTCACTTGTACAGGAAGTGAGGAGAAAACTTCCAACAGGGACACCTGCTCCATAGGCATGCTTACCAACATTTCAGTCCCGCTCCCTGGGATGCAGTTAACCCCGCCCACAGTCAGCCTCAGGCCCACTCAGTGACCAGGGAGGCAAATTAAACCCCGCCCACCTGGTGGCTTTATTAAACCCCACCTCTAATTATGCAGGGAACACCCACTCATGGCCTATCACCATAATTAATGCATGCACAGTAACTTAAAGGCGAACTATGTGGTTAAGGCTTTTCCCCATAGTTCTCCTTAGGGTAACGGGAGGACACAAACTAGCGTCCTCCCATCACCCTAGGCTCAGTATATAGGGAGCTGTATCTCGCGGTATACTGAGACGCCGCAGCTGAAGCGGATCCCGACAATTGTGCCGGGATCCGCCCAGCTGCGTGACTGACAGCTGGCTCTGCCTATCTAGAGGCAGAGCCAGCTGTACCCGCCCCCTCCCCCGTCCGTTCCGTGAAAAGCACTTACCTCATAGTTCTCCTTTAAATAAGAGTGACAGTGTGATTCCGGGATAGCCCAGAACAAGTCCTCATTTGGACTGAGGTCCAGTACAGGGGCTTAGTGGGTAGCACTTCTGCCTTGTAGCATGGGGGGGTCCCCAATTTGAATCCTGGAAGGAGTTTGCATGTTCTCCATGTGCTTGCTGGGTTTTCTCCGGGTGCTCCGGTTTCCTCCCACACTCCAAAGACATGCTGGAAGGTTAACTGGCTCCTGTCTAAATTGGCCCTGTATGCATGTGCAATAGGGACCTTAGATTGTAAGCTCTTGAGGACAGGGACTGATGCGCATGTGTAAAGTTGTTGGTGCCTGTAATCAATAGAATGATGCCGGCAATTGCAGGGCTATCCGGACAAATCTGGGATAGCTGGCACCTATGAAGAGGGGATGTTCTCTTAACTTTTGAGAGATTTGCCCCTCACTTCCTGTAATGTTTTTGGAAACAGGAAGTGAAAGGGAATCTTACTAACAGGACACAGGCAGCAAATATTAAACCTGACAGGGGGTTCTAACACTTCCATATTCTATCCAAAAATAACCCCCCCCCCCAAACATATGCTTTGCCTTTAGAATCACTTTAAGTCTCAGACTATAACCGACTCGTTTCCTTTCGCTTTTCTGATCATGTGATCATGCAGAAAAATAATGTCAGGCTGAGGAAATGGGAGTCCGCTTCATGAGCCGTCCTATAACTTGGGAGACAACCGTTACGGACCGGAGTTCCTCTTTAACCGTTTTCCGCGCCGGAGTGCCGCTGAAGCTGTTGCATTGCCCCAGACGGAGCGTGCTGTTGCGCTACCTTGTGTGTGTAATGTTCCACCCGCACCATCACATTGACGATGTCCTTGTTTTGTCTCTCTTCTGCTCTTTCGCTAGCTGCCCTGCCTTTCCTGATAATTGAATCTAATCAAATCCGACCGTATCATCGGGGGTTTTACTGTGACGATGAAAGCATCAAGTACCCCATCAAACCGGGAGAGACAATTAATGATGCTGTGCTGTCCGCTGTGGGCATTTTAATTTCCGTCCTCGCTGTAAGTGTGTCAAGCTATCAATCAGTACAAATTCTTCTCTTCTGTCTTCTTTGCCTTTTCACAGGAGACTCTTCCCATTCTGACTGCAAGAGGGAACCTGCCGGGGGCAGAAATTTGGAAGCTGACGGCTTTTGTTTTACGTTGCCGGTTCCGTGATCTGTAAAGTCAAAAACAGAAATGTGATATATTGCAGATTACCGGTCCATTATTACCAACATTATGGTCCCGGATCCTGGACACTGCCAGTCCCATCTATAGTCCACATTTTGTCTGCTCACTTTCTGGGTGGGTGTGGACAAATAACATCCAATGTACTGATTGGGTCTACCCATGCCATGTCTCTAAATATACAGCGACCGCCCATTATGTTCATTTTACTGGTTGGTCCCACCCATGCCCGTCCTCTAAATATACAAGGACTTCACATTATGCTATGGTTGGTCCCACCCATGCACTGTCTCTAAATACAGGGACTGCCCATTATGTTCACTTTACTGGTTGGTCCCACCCTTGCCCTACCTCTAAATATACAGGGACTGCCCATTAAGTTCACTTTACTGGTTGGTCCCACCCATACCCTTCCTCTAAATATTCAGTGCCTGCCCATTATGCTCACTTTACTGGTTGGTCCCACCCATGCCCTTCCTCTAAATATTCAGTGCCTGCCCATTATGCTCACTTTACTGGTTGGTCCCACCCATGCCCTTCCTCTAAATACAGGGACTGCCCATTATGTTCACTTTACTGGTTGGTCCCACCCTTGCCCTACCTCTAAATATACAGGGACTGCCTATTATGTTCACTTTATTGATTGGTCCCACCCATGCCCTGCCTCTAAACATACAGGGGCTGCCCATTATGCTCACTTTACTGGTTGGTCCCACCCATGCCCTTCTTATAAATATTCAGAGCCTGCCCATTATGCTCACTTTACTGGTTGGTCCCACCCATGCCCTTCCTCTAAATACAGGGACTGCCCATTATGTTCACTTTACTGGTTGGTTCCACCCATGCCCTTCCTCTATATACAGGGGCTGCCCATTATGCTCACTTTACTGGTTGGTCTCACCCATACCCTTCTTCAAAATGTACAGGGACTGCCCATTATGCTACCATTACTGGTTGGTTCTGCCCATGCCCTCCCTGTAAATATACAGGGACTGCCCAATATATTCAGTTTACTGGTTGGTCCCACCCATGCCCTTCCTCTACATATAAAGGGCCTGCCCATTATGCTCCCTTTACTGGTTGATCCTGCCCAGACCCCACTTCTAAATATGCAGGAATTGCCCACTGTTGACCCTGATCTCCGCAATTAGTGCATTGTTGTGTTATTGCTCAAGAAGGGTGATGTTGTGATCCCAGGATATGGCCCTGGACACAGCATAGGCAGATGGGGGACTATTCCGGCAAATCCTGGACAGTTGGCATCTATCTATACCTTGGGTGATAGTGCTGCTCCTCCATAGACACAGTGCAGTGAGCGTTGTCACCCTAGGACAGGAAGTGTGGTACTGGCAGGATCACCAGGTGAAAATAAAGGAAAAAAAGGACTGGTTGGCTGCTATATATTACATTACATCACGGATGAAGATGACTGGACCAGAGCTCGCACCTTAAAACAACAGCGGTCCCCAAAGTTTTGTACCGGCAGGTTCTCCTTGTTAAAGCAAAGGGGGGAAAGTATAGTAACATATACAATGTATCTACTGACAAGACTACATTTCATTGCAGTCTATTACCTTGCTGTTGGTGTATACACTTTTCATAATTGCTCTCTGCCTTCTGAAGCCCTTAGAGAGTTTTCCTTAAATGATTTCATGATTTCAGTTAAATTGTCTCTTGAAACAGTTTGCAAGTCATTTCTGAACCGTTCAGATAACAGGACACTCCTATACAAGCTGCCCTTGTGATTGGCTACCTGACCTTCTAAATCAGGGTAGGCAACCTTTGCACTCCAGCTGTGGTAACGCTACCACTTCCATCATTGCTCTGCCTCTGGGAGCCATGTCTGTGGCTGTCAGAGTCTTGCAATGTCTCATGGGACTTGTAGTTCTACAACAGCTGGAGTGTCGAGGTTGCCCACCCCGGTTCTAAATCTTGGGTAGCCAAACTTCTGCCCTCCGGCTGTCCTGATACTGCAAAGCTCATCGTGCATCTGACTCTGGGAGTCATGTCTGTGGCTATAAGAATCGTGAGGTGCCTCATGGGACTTGTAGTTCCACAACAGCTGGAGTGCTGAGGATGCCTACCCTTGGCTTAGAATGTCTCCCATTGGGCTGCATGAGATCCATTAATTCCGCCATCTACGCTTACCAGCATGAATGGTGGAATCCAGAGTCTTGCAGCGCCTGGCCTTGGCTGCTCCTGGTCTAAATCCTGAGAGTGTGACAGTTGCCTTGAGACCAGGCAGCTGAATGCGCATCCGTCACAACCCACGAGGAATATCGTTCAGTGACGGGCTTGCAACAGTTTCAAGGGACAGCTAGCCTGGAAGCTGGAGAAGTTTGCTTCTGGTGGAGAAATGCTTGAAAGCCTTTTGGTACAAAATATCCAACTACAAATGAGTAAAATGTGAGAAACAAACAAACAAAATGACATTGTAGCTTATGTGGGCCTATGACGAAACAGAAATCTCCACCATGAACCAAATATGAACGGGAAGATTGTCACAGTGGTCATTTGCTGTCATGGTTGAAGCTTCCAGAAGTGGTGCCGGTTCCGGGGCAGGGAACAAGCATCACAAACACACACATTGACATACCTACCCCGGAACTAGCATGCACTGCATGGATCCGGCAGCACCAGCACTGGATGGGAGCTGTTGCAGCGGAGGGGCGCCCCGACAGTCTACCTATAAATCCAATAGCTCAACACAGATCAACTCATCTCATAAGGAGCGTCCAACGTACAGTAATCCAGAGCAACCAATCAGAATCATCCTTCTCTGTCTCACTTCTGATTGGCTGCTATGGGTTATTGCTCTTCCAAGACTTTCCCTTTCGTTAGTTAGGACCGGATAGTTCAGAACATTTCAGACCTCTTCAGCTTTTCTTGGAACAATCTCCCTCGTTGTCTCTGCTTAATTCCTGCCGATGTATTGTGTGCTATCTGCTTTGCATCACTCATGGGCGGACCACTTTGCAAGCAGGGGCGGGGCTCTGAACTAGAGAAAGGTGGCCATACACTGGTGGATTTTTCTATACAAACCTTGATACAAAGTATTTCATCAGAACATTCGATAATGTCATCAAAGACTTTACAAACGTCTTTCGAAATTTTGTTTAATTTTTACATTCGATTTTTGGAACTAATGGATTTTTCCAAAAGAAAACCACATTCTCTGTTAGAATTTCATTCATTGGTGCAAAAATTTCCAACCTGCTACTTTTTGTTTTTGTTTTTGCATCACTAAGGTTGGAAACGTTCAACAATTTGACCCCATTTACTATGCGGAAATCGAAGAGAACTTTCCAAAAATGTTCTTACATAATTCCGCTAGTGTATGGCCAGCTCAAGTCCCCCTTCAAATGTTCAACACCAAAAAAAATTCCTTGGACCGGCTCTGACTTACTGTTGTTCAGGTCCCCAAGATCATCGAACAAAGTGACCCCCTACCAGTTGTTTTTAAATAAAAATTTTGGATAGAGTGAGAAAAGTTAAGGACTTCTTAGGGGTGGGGGCTTCCAAAGGGGCCACGGCTATAAAAAGCTGACAGAGGTCCTGACCCTTCCCAAATAATCAAAAACAGTTTTTATTTTGGCAAACGCATTGTAAAAAAAAAGAATAAAAAAAAAAGTTAAGGATTTCTTTATGGGAGTTAGGGCTTCCAAAGGGGCCACAGCTATAAAAAGCTGACAGAGGTCCTGACCCTTGCCAAATAATCAAAAACAGTTTTTATTTTGGCAAACGCATTGTAAAAAAAAAGAATAAAAAAAAAAGTTAAGGATTTCTTTATGGGAGTTAGGGCTTCCAAAGGGGCCACAGCTATAAAAAGCTGACAGAGGTCCTGACCATTTACAAGTTAAAAAAAAGAAAATTGTTATTTTGGCAAATGCATTATAAAAAAAATACTTAAAAAAAGTTAAGTATTTATTTATGGGGGTGGAGGTGGGGGTGGGGGCTCCCAAAGGGTCCATGGCTATAAAAATCTGAGGTCCTAACCCTTTCCAAATATTCTCAAAAAAGTTTTCAATATGGCAAATGCATTGTTGAAAAAATAAAATAATAATTATTATTGTGATTATTATTATTATTTTTGTAATTAGTAGTAGTAGAAGTATTATTATTATTATGAATAATAATAGTAATAATTATATTAGAATAATATTAGAATATTAATTAAGAAGTCTTCAAAATAATCCAATAACAGAGTAATTTTGATACTGTATGCATTGTAAATGCCCAGTTGGGGTGAACAGAATATATGCTTTTTCTAAATTCCCCTGAACCTCATTTGGTTGAGCCATTTAATCTTAAATGAACATTGATACTGAAAAAAAAATGTATCCTCTTGTCCTGTTCAGGTAGTGATGAGAAATAACATACAATGTTGCTCTTAGAATTAGTCCCAGTTACCCCCCACCCCAGTCACCGGTGCCATGTGTGAGAGGTCAGGTTGCTCCTTGCTGTTGAAAAGAGGTACGGCTGTTGTTTTTTGGCCCATGTTTTCCTTGCAAAATGGAAACACACCTCAGCCGTTAATTTAGACTTAATTCCCCAATTTACAACTCGCTCCATCTGGTCCATCCCCGGGACCACCAACAGAGACAGTGCCAGATAGAGAGGAAAGACAGGGACTGACAGATAAACAAATAAAGTTGGATGGTCATCCTCCCGGCTTCATCTCCCCCAAAAAATAACAGTCTTTTGTTTCTCAGTGAAGGGCAGGGTACCGCAGTGTGGTGTCTCTCACCCTTTCTGTCCCCAGTCTAAATGAATATATACTGTACATGTCTATGTTTTTTTTATTCGGTTTGGGCATGTATAATTTTATAAAAGACAAACCAAGTCCATTCCTTCTTCTGGAATGACGCCATTTTCTCATAATGCTCCAAGCCACAATTATATATCTCTGTGGCTGCAGCTTACACGCTGTGGCACCGGTGCAAGTAAACATGAGTAAAACCTTTTCACAATCCCAACAAAAGTAAACAAACAAAACAAGTTCCATGAAATGTCCAGCCTGTGAAGTTAAACATTAAATGGGAACAATAGATAGCAAAGATCGTTACTTTGTAACAAGGGGGTCAGCAAAATGGAGAGCTTCTTAAAAAATTTCAAGGGAAAGTCAGAAAATTTTAGCAAAATTTTGCTTATTTGCTGCAATGCATTAGTGTGAATGGGGAAGATAAATTTAGGTAGTTTTTGGTGCTTTTTGAGGACCCAAATGGGCTTTAGATGTCCCCTGTCCCGGGAAGTGGCTATGTACATTCCGGGTTCACTCTTTCCATATTTTATTGAGTGCAGTAGTGTGAATTCCATCAACTACACAACTTTTATTGGGTCTTGAGTCTTCCTGGTCAGAGCCCTTCTTTTGCCCCCCTGCAAGTGGTCCTTCCAAGTCTTTCTGCCATCTATAATTTAAGCTTCTAAGGTTTTTATGTTGCGTGTTGTAGTGTCTCCTTATATATTTTCTTAAAGTGCGCTTGAGACTTTCACATAGTCCAGCCAGCCATATTATGATCGTGCAGAATCCCCTAGTTTCCAGTGGACTCGGTGTTGTCACCAGTTTCTAGACAAGTGATTGGCTCAAGGTTCAGAAATACCTACTGCCCCTAAGACTCTATTTTGGCTGGACAGGATTCTGGGTAGGCTAAGAGGAGTGGTGCTTAAACTGTATGTCCAGCCAAAAAGTATAAAGACCTGTGCAGGAGGCACCGGGGCTTCAAAACTAGGAAATGGAAACATATTAAGCTCACTGGTTCTGGTGATGCTCCTCATGTCAAGCAAGGCTTCCCTTTGGTGGGTACTTCAAATGAACACAGAAGGAGCGACAAACCGACAAACCGAATAGCGAAAGAGTCCAAATCACTTTAATGGTTCATAATATGATCATGTAGTAGAGGCCAAGTCACTCTCCCTTCATCAGAGGCTACCAAATAAATATAAATACTGCACATGTAGGAGAACAATATGGCTGCTTCACTGTGTGTATGCAACAGGTAAACTTTAAAATAACTCTGTTCACATCTTTTTTGAGTTCTTCCGCATCTACTACTTGAAGGAGCGGTCCTTTTCCTTCATCCAGAATCCCTACGTGGCCGCCTTGTATAAGCAGGTTGGCTGTTTTATCTTCGGCTGCGCCATCAGCCAGTCCTTTACGGACATTGCCAAAGTTTCCATCGGCCGCCTACGGCCCCACTTCCTGGCGGTCTGCAATCCGGACTTCTCGAAGATCAATTGCTCCCTGGGATACATTCAGGAATACGACTGTAGAGGCCTCAGTAACAAAGTAATGGAAGCAAGGTAAGGACGCTTCATATTAGAATGTCTGTTTGGTATGTTACTGTATTAAAATATAACTGAAGGGGAAGAGGACCCAAAGTGTACGGATGGTGGTCCTGGATGTGATATTACAAATGGGGGGAAGGGATGGGCTAACATGTATCCTGATGACCGGGCTGTGAGTCTTAGACCAAGGTTACCACCAACTGTCAGTGAATCATTGGGGAATAATATCCATCAGCCTAATTATTAGAAGCACCAATTAAATAGAAACAACAAAAAATCTGATTCAAAGCTCCTTGTTAGTGAATATAACGTAAAGTTACTGACACCAAGACTGGTCAGAGAGCTTATACCAACACTGTACAGGTCCCAGACATAGTGCTCTCATTATCTACAGATTGCAGGAGAGTCCTACCGCACTCCTTACTGTACTGTTGTGTCCCTTGTGGTGGGTGCTGTATTGACTGCGGATGGCGCCGCTTCAGATCCAGATAGTAAAGTATGTCACCAGCACACCATGGTTTAATCTTCAAGCAGTGATCATTTTATTAATGCACACTCATCTTGTCACATTGCATTGCAACTAACACCAAGACTGGTCAGAGAGCTTATACCAACACTGTACAGGTCCCAGACATAGTGCTCTCATTATCCAGAAGAGTATGTGCAACCTCCGAAATGCGTCAGATTTTAATCATACTCCAAAGAGCCAACCTTTCCCAATCAGATTTCTGCCATCAAATTTTTCCATTGGAGCTTTTAATACCAAAACTCATGAGGCTCGTAGCTGGGCCGAGATTAGATGGGACTTGTCCACATTCATTCATTATAAAATTCATTTTCTTTTTTGAATCATCTCTGGGAACACATCTGAAATTCTCCCGTCAGCACGAAGCGTTTTGCTATTATGTAGAAAGCTGATGACAGCCATGTGAGCTGTTATCTTTCATATGTCAGAATTATCAGCGTCTCTCATCTTTAACCAGTCCCTACCTTGTCGGGTTTCTCTCTCTCTCTCTGTCATTGGGTCTCATTGATGTTCAGCAGCCTCACCAGTGCAAAGTCCACGAATGATATATGAGCCGATAAGGAGTGAGTCAGTCGTTGCTTAAACATATAGGGCGAAAAGTACATTAAATTGTCATGGTTACAAAGTTACAAAGTTATTCAGGTTGGAGACACAAGTCTGTGGAGTTCAGCCATGTTTCATTTGTTTAATTTTTGTTCTGCAGGAAGTCGTTCTTCTCCGGACACGCCTCCTTCTCCATGTACACCATGCTCTACTTGGTGGTAAGTTCCATTTATTTAAGTATAACTCTTTCAATAGTTATGGCTTTAGCTTGGGGGGTGAAGCTGTGCAGGCGGTTTTCGGTTATGCTGAACTCAAACAGAATATGATGGTGAGACTGTAGCATTGCGCGGCCATTAAAGGTTGATTGCGCATCGCTGTGCGGCCATTGAAGGTTGATTGCGTGTCTCAGCTCCCCTGGGCGCAGGTTCCACCCACCTCCCCTGTTTGGATCCATCTTCTGAACTCGGCTCGTCTGCTATCTACACCTACTTTGGATTTGTATTGTTATTTAGGGTGCATGATAGCACACACCACACACCATGACAGCACACCACACACCATGATAGCACACACCACACACCATGATAGCACACACCACACACCATGATAGCACACCACACACCATGATAGCACACACCACACACCATGATAGCACACCACACACCATAATAACCCCCTCACACACCACACACCATGATACCACACACCATGATAGCACACACCACACACCATGAAAGCACACACCACACACCATGATAGCACACACCACACACCATGATACCACACACCATGATAGCACACACCACACACCATGATAGCACACACCACACACCATGATAGCACACACCACACACCATGATAGCACACACCATCGAACCATCACGAAGCATGATAGCACACATCATCGCCCTACAACCCAAATCCCCCCCCTCCCATTCCGTACCTCAAACACGGGGTGCTTCTTGCTGTAGACAGTTGTTATTTTTTTCATTCAGTGCAGCTGTGCGCAGCTCTACCCAGACAGCCACGTCATCAAGGTCCAGGATCCATCAATGTAGAAAGTACACACTGGCGGCAGGACAAGGTGTATGATTCCATATGGACCTGAGGCCGGGGCTAAATATTGCCTGTGCATTGCATCCGCGACACACACTGGCAGCAGGGCAATGAGGTCACCACACTTGTAGACTAGCCAACACTTCCTCCAGCCCCATAGCAGAAGGTCTGTGACTCCATATGGACCTGAGGCCGGGACTAAATACTGCCTGTGCATTGCACCCGCCACACACTGGCGGCAGGGCAGTGAGGCCACCACACTTGTAGTCCAGCCAGCACTTCCTCCATCCCCATAGCAGAAGGTCTATGACTCCATAGGGACCTGAGGCCGGGGATAAATGCTGCCTGTGCATTGCATCCGCGACACACACTGATTGTGGGCGCAATGCTCTGCAGGCTTCAATGCACCAAAGTAGTAAATACTCATTAACCATAAGTTCAGTGTTGCTGCATTTAGTAGAGGTAGACTGAGATTAGTAGAGGTAGACCGAGGCTTTAATGTCCTGAAGGAGATTCCGCTGCCTTTCCTAATTTATTTGTTCGGCTTAATGTCTGGAAAACGATTCGCCGATTCAGCTTAAAATGTTACCTGCCGCAGGTGTTGGAAGGCGCGTTTCCTCCGCGGCGGAGCCTCTCGTGCTGCGTCTGCAAGCAGTTAGGGTCCTTCCCTGCCCGGATGCCGAAAAAAAACATTTAGCCAACTAAGCCCCTTTAAAAAGGCCATCTTTTCACTCTCCGCGCGCTGTTTTTGTAAGCTCCTTCCCCTCCGCCTCCACGAACACTGGAGTTCACCTCCTCCTGGCTCTGAATGGGAGTTTTGTACCGGTCAGCTTAACGAGAAAAGAAAAAACAAAAAACGACTTCCCTTTTCCTGCAAAAAAAGCCGGTGACACTTTAATTGAACCGACTTCTATTTTTAGGACTTTTTTTAAATGTTTTACTTAGTTATAAGAAAAATACACAGACACAGACACATTGTAAATGGGGCTGGTCTACGGGCCGCCTGCCACTGCACTCAGATTTCAGGGACCCTTCAGTCCTATGCATTGTGATAACATGAGATATAACGAATGTGTTACCACAATGCAGGGTAATGCAGCGTGCTTCATGTGATGGGTTTATGGCGCCATTCATTGAAGACGGCATCTCCGCTCACAATTGTATTAGATGCCAATGTGCTTTTGTGCGTTGCGGTGCACGGCATTAAAAACATGCTATGGGTCCAGTTATTGGTCTGTTGACGTGCATCGGCAGCCCATTGAAGATGAGAAGAGAAATTATTTATTTATGATAGATAAATAAACGCACATGAAAGTTAAATAGTACTTTACTTTTAAATACCAAAAAAATTAGCTGGCCACATTCACACACACACATGTATATACTATATACACATATATATATTTTTATTTATGTATTTTAATAATATATTACAATATATTTTTGTTTGTGTAACTAGTGATAAGGACCTCTGGCACACTGTGCGCTTTATATTGCAAATTATCTTTCAGAGATAAGAGAAGAGCATTGAACCCGGCTTCCTTATTGACATAAAACATGAATCATTGCTCCATTGATGCCGCTCTGTTATCATTAATACATAACTACTTTACTACTTTTGTTTTCCCATAAACACAAGCATTGTAAGTACCGTTGGCTTGGTTTTAGCCTCTTGTAGTCACAGTACAGCAGAGCTAAAAATTAAGGGCGGGGGGGGCAGCACTAGGTGCCAATAAGGGGTGCTGCAGTGCCAAGAGCATGACGATAGAAAGAGAGAGCAAAGTGGCAGTGTTCTGCTTCTCTTTTCACTGTCTATTCGCAGGGTGGGGGTGGGGAATGGAAGAGCAGCAAATTCACTTCACACAGTCTCTAGATTGGAAGCAGACCAGCCGCTGCTCTGAGCATAGCAAACGTGTATCAGTAGAATGGGAGGTAGGCTCTCCATCCAGAGAACTCATCACTCTGCCCATTTAGGGAAAGATGACAGGTACTCTTACTTGCTGCAGCTCCAAATGACGAGTCGGCCAGCCTTGCCCAGGGGCGGCAGGGGTTAACGGTGTAATGGCTGCCGGCGACGGGCTGTTTTTTTTTTTCTTTTCTCACCCACTCCCGGCGTACTGTCCTATATCAGCAGCTGGGTGGAATTATTGTGCTGCCACTATTCAGGTGTTTCATTTCCCCCCATCTCTACCCCGTCTCCCTCATGAGGTGCGGCGGCCATGATACTCGAGGACTAACCTAGATTTCAAAGGTTTCCAGTCGTGATATTCGACTTTCACAGATATTGGGGAATTTATTGCCGCGCCGTGATATATGGCAGCGATTTTCAGGCTGTGGAGTGGCGGGGCTCCTGTATCTAATATCTCGCCCTTGATTGGGTCCAGAGGCAAAACCCAAGGAGCTTATCCTGGAGTAGGTGCTAGGAGAGCAGCGGAGACTGAGCCGAGGGCTCCTGAGGTCTGGATTATCTGTGGTGATGGTGTAGCTTATACTTTGCATGAGTTCGACAGATGTGCTTCTTTTACATTCTGTTTTTATCAGCGAGTGTTACTATTGTAAAGTCGGGGCGGTACTGCAAAAGCGGGAAGAGTGGATACATCATGAGCCAATCAGATCCCTCATGTACATTTGTAATAATAGTCTTTCATTAGAGGCAAGGTTCTTAAAGCACCAGGGATCGTCTTCTACACGACATGGTCCTTGCCAAAGTTGGACACACACTGTAATATTTTCTTCATTCAAGGTTCTTAAAACATCAAGGTTCATCTTCTACACGACATGGTCCTTGCTAGCTGTTCCTGAGTCGATCACATCTGTAGTTTAAGTTGCCATCAGGCCATCTCACCAACCTTTGGCTAGCTTCCAACTTCAAGGTCTACCAACCTCCGATGAACAAGATGGCCAACTCAAAGCTGCACATTGTGTGGCACAATAGCATAAACACTTTGATCGGGTTGTCAGGACTTGGAGATGGCCCCTTATCCACTTAAAGTAGATGTAAACCCAATCAATAAAGTTCCATATAAGCCATGTAAATATGTTATTTGTGCCGGGGGATCCTGCCATGAAGGTCCTTGTTCAGGCACTTCCTGTTTTGGCATGACAACTATCTGCTAGTTGTGCTCCTCCATTGTCACCCTGTGACAATGGAGGAGCACAACTCCAAGTGACAAAGTGACCGCTCAGGAACACAATTGGGAAAAAGGGACAGAGCATTGTCACCCTGTTGGCTTGAACCTGGTGGGGACCACAAGTAGCCATGCCAACCCATTTATGGGTGCAGCCGCATGTAGTGTCTATCGGAAGTCCAAGTGACAAAGTGACCACTCAGGAGCACATTTGGGAAAAAGGGACAGAGCTTTAACACCCTGTTGGCTTGAACCTGGTGGGGACCACAAGCAGCCATGCCGACCTAATGTAGTGTCTATTGGACGTCCAAGTGACATAGTGACCACTCAAGACCACAATTGGGGAAAAGGGACAGAGCATTGTCACCCTTTTAAAGGATTATGACTGAACAAAGAACTTTATGTCAGGATCACCAGGAATTATTTTAATGCAGATTTAAATATGTTTAACTTTTGAAAAGCTCTTAACATGTTAAAACTCATTGTAGAGATTTTAGTGGTTGGGTTTACATATATTTCAATGTCCTGTTCATCGCATGGGATACTCTGACGCGTTATTGATCAGTTCCCTGAAATCACCGTCTGGGGATTCCATTTATCTCCATCTTGGATACGGGACATTTTGGATAAGGGATTTGGATAATGAATGGCTGCTGGGAGTCTCCTAACAGATCAGATAACCTCTATCACAACACCCTGGTGATTGCAATCTTGGTGGCATTGTTCTCCAGTGGCAGTTGATAGGGTCAGCACACTGACAGGGGTCTCTGTGTGATCTCCGTGTGTGTGAGCTCTGTTTATGCTGCAGACGCCCCGGCAATCACCCAATATATCACAGCGAATTTCAATCGGGTCACCAAGGTGTGTGGAGAGGTCATCAAGACCTGGCCCGGTGATAAGGGTGACATTACTGTACGGGCTCAACAATGGCACAATCACTCTTCCTGCTCATCTGCGTTTGTTCTGAAACTTGAAACTCTGTGGCTCAGTTTACAACAATGGCAATTCCCATTTAAAAGCATTTCATACTGGAG